GCACAGGAACCTTATCTTCTAAATAACACAATTTAATTAATTAAATTAATTAATCCAAAGCTAAACTTAAAAGCTTATAAAATCTATGTGAACATTCAATATAGCTTAAGGGGCACAACTAGTGTGAAGTTTTAAAAAAATCCAAAAATTTTTTTTTTTCATTTTTCGGTAGATAAAACCTTTAAAAATAACACATTAAAATTTAAAATCGATATCTCAAATAGTTTTTGAGTTATAACAATTTAAAGAGCAGCCGCTCTCATAACAGTGCAAACGATCATTTTATCTTTAAACGCGTTTTTCTCGAAACAGCATTTTCCAAATTTGCTGCAGTGATAACTTAAAAACTAGTGATCCGATCACTACCAAATTTTTTTACATGTTCTTTATATAGTTCTACGTACCATGAACTATCGGATTTTTAATCCGATTAAAAATCGAATTTTGGCAGGCCAAAAACGACCAAAATTTTGGTTAAAATTCGATTTTTTTTTTTAAAACGCTGCCATTTTGTCATTTTTGGATATTTTTTTTTATCGTAGTTCATGGTATGGGAAATATTATCTAGTTTAACGAAAATTTTTCATTTTTTGATTTCGTCCACGGAGAGGGCCGGAATCACTGCAGCAGTTGAGGCACTTTTTTTTTTTAGCGCCGTTGGAGATCGACTATAACTTAAACAAGAAAGGAAGCTAGCTTCGGCAAGCTGAAGCTTATATACCCTTGCAGTCATTAAATACGTCAAACAAAATACATAAAGGCTAACAACATCGAATCTATGACGATTTTTCTATTATTTACCATATTGTTCATATGACAGCTATATGATATAGTCGTCCGATTTTGATAAAATTTAATATGTAACTCAAGACTCATTAGAAAACTCTATATTCCAAAAATCATGATTGTCTGATGAAAAACAACGAGGTTATAATTTTATTTCCGTTATTTCTATATAGATTTTTCGATCTTTCCTATGGCAGCTGTATGATATAGTACTCCGATTTTTATGAAATTTTTTTCTCGATTTAAGAGTATTTCAAAAACTTGATGTTCCAAAAATCATGTTCCAAAATCATTAAAAACAACGACATTATAATTTTTTTTCCATTATTTATATATATATTTTTTGATCTCTTCTATGGCAGCTATATGATAGAGTTATCCGATTTTGATAAAATTTAATACGAAATTCAATAGCAGTTAGAAAACGCCATCTGGAAGAAATCAAGTCGATCTGATCAAAAACAACGGAGTAAGAATTTTTAATTTCATTCTCTTGTATGGGAGCTATCCGATATAGTCGGCCGATCCGGCTCGTTCCGACCTATATACTGCGTGTAACAACTACACAAATTTTGGAAAAGTTTCAGCGAGATAGCTTTAAAACTGAGAGACTAGTTTACATAGAAACCGACAGGAGGACAGACGGACAGACGGACAGACGGACAGACGGACAGACAGACAGACGGACAGACGGACAGACGGACAGACGGACAGACGGACAGACGTACAGACGGATTTGGATTCTGATCGTGATGCTGATCAAGAATATATGGGTGATTCCATATCAGATTTACAGTCGATATTGGGAAATTCGATGAGATATTTTTTTCATGCTCTTTATCGAAAATAAATCGACACGTATTTTTTATATGGCTCAGAAAATTTTTTTGACAAAGTTATGATTTTTTGAATTTTTGATGAACTGCCCTTTTTTTGATGACAGTCGCGTTTTCCAGCCCCAATAACTCGAAAACCGTACGTCGCAGAAAAAAATGAATAGGAAGTAAAAATTTCATCCTTCCTTCTTCTTTGCAAAACTTTCGTGAAAAAATTTTTTTAAACAATTTTTCACCACAAAAAGTTCAAATGTTTATAACAAATTAGTTTTTCTCCAACTTGGACATTTTTGATTTTTTTTTTTTCACAATAAATCCCTCAATTTCTTCTGATGAACATAGTAAAATTTCAGAATGGTATCAAAATTAGTTTTTGAGTTATAGAATTTTAAAGATTATCATGCACGGTCCGCGCGCTCGGTCTCAGGGCGTGCGCCGACCAACGACTCTAACGAGCGTCAATTCGCTTCGCGCGCGCATAGTAAGGGTCAATAAAATGAATTTTTAATGCTATTTAATTCTATAACTCAAAAACTAATTTTGATACCATTCTGAAATTTTAGTATGTTCATCAGAAGAAATTGAGGGATTTATTGTGAAAAAAAAAAAAAATCAAAAATGTCCAAGTTGGAGAAAAACTAATTTGTTATAAACATTTGAACTTTTTGTGGTGAAAAATTGTTTAAAAAAATTTTTTCACGAAAGTTTTGCAAAGAAGAAGGAAGGATGAAATTTTTACTTCCTATTCATTTTTTTTCTGCGACGTACGGTTTTCGAGTTATTGGGGCTGGAAAACGCGACTGTCATCAAAAAAAGGGCAGTTCATCAAAAATTCAAAAATCATAACTTTGTCAAAAAATTTTCTGAGCCATATGAAAAAATACGTGTCGATTTATTTTCGATAAAGAGCATGAAAAAAATATCTCATCGAATTTCCCGATATCGACTGTAAATCTGATATGGAATCACCCATATATACTTTATGGGGTCTGAGGTGTCTCCTTCACTGCGTTGCAAACTTCTGACTGAAATTATAATACCCTTTTGCTCTGCAAGGGTATAAAAATATTTAACTTTTTTCTTTAAAAATTTTACTATACATTCTTAAAACATGTATAAATATATTCTGAAAATTTGAAAAGAATTGATCAAGTAGTTTTTTTTATAAAAATTCCCAAAAATCACCATTTTTTTAGGCCGTCACACTAGTTGTGCCCCTTAAAAGATATTAAAAATAATATTTAATAAGACCAACAAACATCGTCCCTCCGAGGGTTAATCGAAGTCCCCAATCTGAACCTATCTGGCCCGTTAATTGATTGTTACATTCCCTTCATCCGAGCGTGAGTCTGTTTATGTTTATGTTTGTGCTTGTGGATGTGTCTGGTCCCCCCCTATGAACCCACACCTAAACCTCTGCCAGCTGCGATGCAGACGTGTTGTTTTTTATGATTGCCCATTTTTGACAATGAATAAAAATTATTATAGTGTCGCACGTTTTGGTGGCTGTAATTTAATTAAAATGATGTCGCGACGACCCGCATCTCGGCATGCTCCATGAGGGTTTTCCCGGAATTTCCCCGCCACCCAAGCAAGCCCCATACAGGTGACAAATGTGGGACGGCTCGGGAGAGTAACTAATTTATAAGTCGCGTCCACGAAAATCCCAGCTGGAAAAAGGTTTGCCGATGAAAAGTCAAACAAGGCACTTGAGCGGTCGGGAAATTTTCGACTATTTGCTCTGGGTTTCGGGAGATCGGAAGTGCGGCAAATACAGCTGGATTCGGTTGGCAAACAGAGTCGGAGTAAAATCGTTTTCCCTTCAGCTAATGAAACTGCTCTTGGTGGCCAGATGGCTGGGGAAAAGTGGAAGGCGGACGGGAACGAGGATGAGCAGCCGGGAAAAACTTGTGCGGCTTCTGTGCCGTGAGCCTGTGAACCTGTTTGCATTAAAATTAAAACGAAAAAAAGAACCGACTGAAACCATGAATGAACTGCAACTTGGTCTTGGGCGGGCATTGTCACTGTCAATATATAGAAATGCACTCAAGGTAACTTCCTACTTGGCTCGTATCCGATTTCAGCCCAACCTCTTTCCCCCGACAGATTATTGCACCCCGAACCGCCCTCCACCTTCTCGGCTAAGTCGTCGTCGAACGTTATATTTAGTGGTCAGCGCAAGAAAAAACCAAACAGAAATAGCAAACAAAATGGCGAACACACAGCCGAGGGACCGGGGAACCCGTGGAGTTCCAGTTCCCGTCTGCGGTGTGGGAACCTTCACTATTGATTGATTGCACAGCCGTTGCTGGGGGTCGGGGTCGGTGGTTGGGGCTCCTCCGGGTCACCCCTCTTGGCCGCGCGAGGGCAGCCTTTTGGCTGGAATGATTTCAAATGTCTCATATCTGCTAAATTTGATTCCTTTATGTACAATGAATTTATTATTGTATTTTTAAACTAAAGATTTCGCTTTGGGGACTTTTCTTGTCTATAGACAAGCGGCAATTAAATTAAATAAACCGAAAATATTTACTTTAATTTAATTAATTCAGATTGAAAACAAAAACATATTATATAATAAAATATATTCAATGGACCAATATTACCAATAACTGTAGGTAAAGTAAACCACAATAAATAGTTTTACAATGGCGAAATTTTTAAGATTAAACATGGAATTTACAAATTAGAAAAAATTCTTAATCTATGATTTCCTTTCGCTTTCCACTGAAAATCGATTTAAGTTCTTGGATACAAACACTACCTTTCCTTCCAAAACGCATCCTGAATGCACATTGACTCCAGAGAATTCCTTTCCACTTTGAAGGAAAATAAAAAGAATTTACAACCGTCAGTTGCGCAATAGTTTTTTACAGGATCGTTTGCTGGCGCTGTTGTCTTTCCTGGGGACCCCAGGGATTGATGACAAGATTTGTTGTGACAAACATTAACTAGCGGTTTCTCACACTTAAACTCCCCAATCCCCTGCCTCTTATCCCAATTAGCAGCGAGGGACGGGGCTTACCCTCTGGAAAAGCGGAAACAAATTGTTGACACCTAAAAACAGAAGCGCTCCTCGGGGCATTCTTCGGGTGATCGGCGGGATGAGGGGAGCACTCGGCGTTTGGGGAAATATTAATACAAATAATTAATTGTGTTAAGTAAACAGTTTTCGTACTAAACGATGGGAGAGCCTCGGATAACTGCGGCAATATAGCTTTACTTCCCACAGGTTTTGTGTTTCCCGCACTCCAAAAATTGCTTTTGGTGAAATTCAATTCGGGAGCCCTGCAGAGAACGGAGGAGCGTTATTTCGCTGGCTTGCCGGCCATGTTTGAATACGAGTCGCCAACATGTTTACATAAAACAGACTAGGTTTTCAATTTTTAATTTTATATTCACATAATTCTGATTGTGCTGATTGGCCCGAAAAGCGCTGACAGGAATGCGGTAACCGGAGCAACCTAGTCCTCCGCATAAGGTCTGTAGCTGACGATCTGACGGGCCACAATGTTCAGTATCTCCCGAGCTGCCATATCCTGGCGCTCGTCCACGATGGCCGTTATCCTGGCGCACTCCTTCACGTAGTTCTCCAGCTCCCGCTGGTTGAGCGCCCTCCTCTGGGGCTCCTTGGACTTCAGCGCCTGGAGACACTGTCCGGTCATGTGGGCCAGCTGGGACCGGGCTCCGCTGAAGGTCTCGTCCAGGTCGTACAGCTCCAGCGGCGGAGCGGGGGCTCGCTGAAGATCGGCGGAAAGGTGGCCAGCTGGAGGTTGGGCAGCGGGATCTCGAACTGCGGCTTGATGATCCTCAGTGGCTCGTACTTCACGTGCAGTTGCTCGTAGGCATCGATGACCTCTTTCAGGAGATGATTGCTCAGCGCACAGAGCTTCATATCGAACATTTGCTTGAAGTCCGTGGGCATCTCGGTTCCGATCGAGTCGATCAGACAGGCCTTGGGCATATCGGCCAGAAACGCCAGGTCGGTGAAGTGCTTGTTGTCGCTGAGCTGTGAAAGATAAGTTTAAATTTGAAACTAAAAGTGCTTAAACATGTGCTAACATATTATTTAAGAATAAACCTATCCAAATTTTATAAGATATCACTTAATGAAACAGTACTTAAGAACCTAAAACAAACTTATATCAATAATAATGTCAATGTCAAGTTGCCCATAAACTTCAATTCTATTTAGGTAGTCTTACTTTTGATAGCACCTCCTCGTCATTTATGAAATCACTAAGTACTTGTGCCATGTGAAAATGAAATATAATATTGAATACGAATTTATGAATTAATGAATGAATGAATGAATTAAATCTAAATAAAATACTTAAGGAAAAATATGAAGTTTTACAAAATAATAAAACAAATATACTGGATAAGGGTTTTTTAAATATTTTAAAGTAACAGCAAACACCCATTTTAATCAACATTTTATTTAACGAAATCTCTATTCTTTTAACGTTTTACTCACCTCTACGTCATTGAAATCCAAATGACTGTAGCTAATCTCGTCGCCTCCCAGCAGCTTCAGCAAGTACTCGAATATGGCGTCGTTGGTCTTGTCCTGAAGGTACTTATCGTGCCAAATGTAGCCTGATCCCAAAGCTAGGATCTTTCCACCTTTTCCGTTTGCATAGTATCCCGCTAAGGGGCGATTGAAGGGATAGACAACGGGTCCCGTGGTCAGCAGGACATTCGCAGGCTCAGACACGTTCAGAGTGGCTCCATATGGATACTGAAAGTGTATCTTGTACTTCTCGTCGCTGAAGTCGTAGTCCACCTTTTCGATGTCCAACTTGAGGAGGTGGCGCCACATGGACTCGCAGACAACTCCGCCTCCCACGATGCATTCCTTGGGATGGAAGTTCCTGTAGTAGTGCGGACGCACCACATTATCCCCGTTGATGTAGATTCCGTACTGCTCCAAGAAGAAATTCACGTTGGTGTTGAACTCCGCCTCTCCGCCTTCTCCAAGGAGCACCAACAGACTGCCTCCTTGCACCTCCACGTAGTGTTTCAGTACCTCGAACTCGTCCTCGGTGAACCGATCCTGAGGTCCTGCCAGTACAAATACTTTCACTCTTGCGAGTCGCTCCTTCCTTAGCTCCGCATCGTTTCTATGGATGTTCAAGTTTTTTGATAATTAAAGGGAATTAATAAAAATTATTTAACTACAAGTTTTTAACTTATTTAAAATAAGATAAAAGTGTCACCAAAAAAAGCAAATGTACCTAATGTTTGTCCTTTGTACTTTAATATTAAAAATCAGAGGCGACTACTTTTTCATAAATAACATTTTTACACTACGGAAACATTATTGTGTTTTTAATTTTTTTACAGGCATACTAACTGCTCGACACTCCAGTTGACCTTTAACTTGCGGTGCAGCATTTTATAATTGTCTGATATTTGAAAGCGCTCATTTTTAGATGTATCAAAGCAGATAACCGGCTTATTGGACATTTTTCGTGCAGTTTAAGTAAAGATTTTAATTATTTGTTTTGCTCAACCGTTGGTTGCCCGGCAACGTGGTGGCGCCCCCTGTCGGGACTGAATGATAACTATGCGCAACCGATATATCAAAAACGGGCGTTTTGCAACACTTAGCTTTTGGGGATTGTCGCACACTGTCCTTAAGTCTCGCTGTGTGAAAAATTACGAAAGAATTTTTGGTGTTCACCTTTTAGACCGACCGAAATTTTCGCAAAACGAACAATGGCATCGATCTGTGGACGCATGGCGCTTCGTACCGCCGCACGCCAAAATGTTGCCTACACGCCCGTGCGCTTCTGCAAAAGTAAGTGGAGATAATCAGGAGGGAAATCCCACGGAGCGCTGAATTTCCGTCACGTTCGCCAAAATTGGCGGAGCTTCTTGCCTGGAATTGCATAATTATGGAGTCAGTGTATGAAATCACTATGTCATCACACTAGTCTCGCCTTGGAAGCTGCAGTTCTGGACCCCGAGAAAAGTGCCTTTGGAAAGTGCGAGGTTATGTAATAACTATGCGCAGGGAAATGTGTGGCTTATGACCGGAGGGAGGGGAAGCGGTGCAGCAGTACGGAGTTAGCACATTGGTGGAAGCTTGACGGGATTACCCTTCCTGAGCTCCCTACTACAACGCAGCCCCTGGCTTTGGGGCGTCTGCTGTTTATGTAACCAGCCGCCCAGCTGACGACCTATTCGCTTATCAATTTATGAGCTAATATTCGTCCATTTCTCCTTTCTTCGCAATGCAGTGATGAACGATCCCTTGGAGCACGCCACTGGTATCGAGAAGCGCGAGCTGCTGCTCAAGGCCGCCGGCAACGATAATCCCTTCGACATGAAAGTGTTCAAGCGGGGCGCCGGCACCAAGGAGAACCCCAACCTGATTCCATCGGCTTTCGATGCCCGCATTGTGGGATGCATCTGTGAGTAGTCCTTGGTCACCAGTTGTGGTTAGGAAAATAGCAGAAGAGACAATCGTACTTTACCTGTTTTTTTTTTTTGAGAACCAACTTTCTGGCACCAGTTTCTGAAGTTTTGTTTACGCTGCCGATACTACTTATTGGTCATTTTTTGATTAAGATAGAATCGAGAAAAGTGTAAACGGAAACCGAAGCAGTTCTTATTGCGAACCGATTTATAGATGTTCCATATATTTGTTGTTTGTTAAAAACTAAAACTATCTGGCTGTATTAATGCTTAGTATAACAAGTAAAGATAAAATGAAGTATATTTCTTATACTGATATACTTCTGTGAATTTCGAAAGGAGTTTTGAGTTCTCACTGCGTTTATCCTGGTCAAAACATTTTCTTTGTTGTAAATTTCTTTTAATAACCTATTTCCATTAACTTTTAGGCGAAGAAGATCAGACCTACGTGCAATGGATGTGGCTGCAGAAGGGCAACCAGAAGCGTTGTGAGTGCGGTCACTGGTTCAAGCTGGTGGAGAAGGCAGCTGTTTAAAGTTATTATTAATTAATTCAATAAACCAATTAATAACAAAAACACAACAACTACTAAGCTAAAAGTCAACCAATTTAGCTGTCCAAATAAACAAACATCAACCCAAAAACATAGAACATGAACATAGAAAAGAAAACGGGCGGCGCCGCTTCCATTTTCAGTTCTTATTTCCACCGCAATCGAGGCGTGATGCTTAATTATACACGAAACGCGAACAATAAATATAAAAAGTGATTTCGATCGAAAGATGAAAGGATTTCATTTGGCAGGAGCTGCGGAAACCTAGTAACCAATTAGAACGGACCAAATTGAAGATATACTTTAAAGAAGGCTAAAAGCAATTTGTATTTTAAACTTAACCGAAATATTTTTTAACTAGATTTCGAACAAAGCATATTTTTAGCAGAAGTAGGCGTCTCAAAGTAAAGTCAAATATATTCGAATTCCCTAAGCTCAGTTTCATTCCGATCCTCTGTCCTGGAGGTATAAATAACTCTGTCTACGGATATATATTTCAAGAGACACTGAAAACTAAATGTCGTCGTACATTTCGCGCCTTCTTAAGGCTCCGTCTGCCTCCAAGCGCCTCATCTCGAATTTGACGCAAAGAGAGGGCAAACTGAGCTCTTTGCTGCGCCGCCTAGGATTGCAGCGTCAGGGAGGAGCACAGGCTGCTCCTGGACCGCGTCCCATATCCACAACCCAGGTGCAAAAGTCTGGTAAGTGACAGGCAAAGACATCCGATACCCACAATCTAGTTCAACGTATCTCATCAGCACTGATTGAGGACGATGAACTGGTAACCGGCATTCAGAAGCGCGAGTTGCAGTTGGCCAAGCAGGGCTGCGAAGATCCCTGGGGGTTTTCTAAGGTTATTAGGCGTGGCTCGGGGCGGGAAAACGATCCAACAGTGATTCCATCGGCATTCGATGCCCGCCTCGTGGGCTGCTTGTGCCTGGACGACCGCTTGCCTAAGTGGATGTGGCTCGAGAAGGATGAGGGACCCAAGCGTTGCGAGTGTGGCCACTTCTTTGTACTAAAGAACGTGCCACCGATCTAGATCGATCTCACAGAGCGCTGTACTACGACACGGGAACACACTCGACATGAAGCTCGCCGGGCATTAAACATTGCATGATATTATCAAAACAAAGGCTTACATATATTTGGGAGTCGCACAACTATCTTAGCGTATAGCCCGTCAGAAGGTATCCACTGTTTCCGCTCATGTTCACCTCGGGATGTGTGCGGTTAGGCAGGATCTGGTAGGTGCGTAGCCAGTTGGAGGTCAAGTGCAGACCCGTCACTTTGCCGGTGCCCTTCAACTCCATGTACGTTTCCTGCAGTAACTCCTTGCACGTACTAAATACCACCACGGGTCGTGAGGGTTTGACCAGGGGAAGCAAGGCCTGTAGAATGCTAGACGGGTGCTCCTTGGCGGCCACTACCAGACTGTCAAATTCAGCGTGCATAAGAGCTGTGGCCCGCTTGTTCTCCAAATGCCAGCGGGGAGGTACTTTGGCTCCTAAGAAGATCGGAAGAGTTCAAAACAAGTTTAGCTTTTTTTACTGCTTAACCATCCACAACTTTTTAGTTAAAAATACCTTCTCTGCCATTCTTCGCCTCTTCAAGCTTGGGCTTTTTTGTGATCGGTTCGATCGCATCCGTCTGTTCTTCTGTTGGGGTCTCCGGCTGGGTTTCCTGTTCCTCTTGGCTGGTTTCCATAACTGGAAGATCTGTTGCCTTCGCCTCGCTTCCTTGGTAGAACTCCCTCAAAACGGAGTATAGGTTCACGGACACACACCGCTGCTGCTGTTCCAGAGGCAGTTTCAGGGCCAGAAGTGCCTGCTTCTGGGGCACATTGCCCGGATGCATGTGCACTAGGGTACCCTCCGTGTCTGCCCCTATTGAATTGAGCATGGCCGCTGGCAGCAGACCGTTGGTGCCGCTCTCGTAGAGCAGGTAGTTACCGAACCCGCAGACTCCCGAGTAGGATATGATCTGTGACAGTGTGTCAACACGAATTCCCATGACCTTTTCCGAGTCTTGGCGGTAGAAGATGTCCAGCATCAGCCGGATTGTCGGCTGGCGGATCTGCACGAACTCAAAGTACTTTTTCTCTTTCTTTAGCAGGTACTTCTCTTGGGAGTATTCGGTGCGGTTGTGGAAGGTCTTCGAGTTCTCCACCAGTTTCTCTATGATCTTGCTGGAGTCGTTGCACGCCTCACGCAGTTGTGCGATGTCTTCGGGCTTTAGGGTCTGCGCTTCACCATCGTCGCAGATGTCTCGGTTGTCCGCCCCACTGCTGGAGATTCCCAAAACCTCCCGCGTGCTTCTCAGCTCCGTTTCGCTGCACAGTTCAAGGGTGTGCTGCCTCTGGGCTCCCCTCTTGCCGGGCTTTGTCTCCTTGACGCACATCTTGAACGTGGAGCCGTAGGGCTGTTCCAAAAGCGCCTTTAGCTCCAGAGTCTCTTTGCCCAAAGTTGCTGTGGTGTCCAGACTGCCAAATTTCTGCAGCTTCGTGTACTTCTGCCGCTGGATGACGATGTAGTCGCCCAGTTGGATCCGGGGGGTGGCCGCCTCAGTGGCCATGATCGCTTGTCTATGTTATAATTTTTATAAACAACGTGTTTTGCTTAAAGCAAATAAAAAGCCGCCGTTGAAAGGGGGCAAGAGGAAGAATAGTTAAGTGCTGCGAAGCGGGCCAAGTCTGGCAACATTGCCACCTGTTGCATTTTCTTTGTATACAAAACATTAATTACTAAATCATTTTTTTTATTAAACATTTCCAATTTTAAATTGTAAATACAAAGGAAAATGAAAAATTGGTTTTTAAGACGAATTTTCCTTTGAAATAAATAGTTTGTGGGGTTATTGTTTGTAGTATTAATTTGATTAATTTACTTTAGTCTTATACAATTTGTAATAAATAAAACAAAATAAATATTAATCTTGGTCCAATGGAATTTTCCTTAGTTAAAATAGATTAATAATTTTTACTTTCTTTTGTGATAAGTTATAAAATGGTTTTATTTTTTCTTTGTTGCTATGAATAGCATGGTCGTGAACATGGTCGTACCAAAAACGGTTAAAAAAAGGGACTAACCTTAGTGAAGTAATTAACTTGTAAATAAAACTAATTATGTACCCTTTTTTTAGTGCGGAAGACATACTTCATGTATTCAATTCCACTTATTAACAGATATTATTTTAACATAAAAAAAGTTAATGTTCGGATATAGGTAACCAAATATGTCATATTTGTTCACCTGGTTAAATTCCCGTCCCCAATTGCTGATTACGAAATAATCTAACTGTTCCGCCCTTGGGTTTCGACACCCTCTCAAATCGCAGTCAGCTACGCCCATAAATTATAATTTCCAACAGAGTGGCAACGCCATAGTCCGATCGAGTACAGCTGATAACGAGTACAAGAACGCGTGCCTTATGTGTATAACTATAACCTTTGATTCGATGCGATCTGTTCGGTAATCGCAGTCCGCGCATTCAGTTGTCCGAGCACTGCATTGGCTCCACCACGTGACCACTAATCTTGAGAGCGCCTCCCGCGAGGCGGATAATCCCCAAACTAGAAACTGGAGTAGTGTCCAGTCGCAAGCTGAAAATCAAACCTTCCCGCCCTCCTACCGGTTTCGCCTGCCCCGCGAATAACTGACCGCGCAAGTTTTCGGGTTTCAAGCATACGCCCCAATAACTGCTGTCGCCCGCATAACCAGAACCAGAAATCCGAACCAGAACGGTGCAGCACAGAAGTCACGCAGACATGGCGGAGGCAAAGTCGGAAAAGTCTCCTTTTATTGGCCGGCAACAGGCGCCAGTGACACTTAATCCTTCGTGGGAGTCCAAGTTGCCGGCTCATGAAGCCAATGGCAAAGGATCCCAGTCAGCGATCGGGCAACTGGGTCTGCCCGCACCTAAAGACAAGTACCTCATTGTGTTCTTTATCTTTCTGCTGCACGGCGTGGGCACACTTATGCCGTGGAACATGTTTATCACCGCAAAATCCTACTTCGAGGACTTTAAGTTTGGAGTCAACAACACGGTGGCCACAGAGACGAGCTACCGCACCCATTTCATGCAGAACATGGGCTTTGCCTCACAGGTCCCTAACCTGATATTTAATTGGCTTAATATCTTCGTCGCTTTTGGCGGGGACCTGACCAGCCGGATTGTTTACAGCATTATCTTCGAGATGGTCATCCTGCTCGTGACCATTGTCCTGGCTATGGTGGACTCGTCGCAGTGGCCAGGCGTATTTTTTTGGACCACCATGGGTTGCATCGTGCTGCTTAACGTGTGCAACGGCATCTATCAGAACACAATCTACGGAATTGTAGCCTCGCTGCCCATCAAGTACACGGGTGCAGTGGTGCTGGGCTCTAACATTAGCGGATGTTTCACCAGCATCATGAGCCTGGTTTGCGGTGAAATATTTGATTCGAAAAGGACCTCGGCCATCTACTACTTTGTGACGGCCATCCTGGTGTTGCTGCTCTGCTTCGACACTTACTTTGCCCTGCCACTGAACAAGTTTTTCCGCCACTACGAGACCATCAGCCGAAATAGCGAAAAGAAATCCGACTCCAAGCAGCAGCTGAACGTGCCCTATTGGCAGATCTTCAAGAAGGCCTCCCCGCAGCTCTTCAACATTTTTCTAACATTCTTTGTGACGCTCTCAGTGTTCCCGGCTATTCAGTCGAACATTCACCGCTCGGACCCGGAATTCCTTATCGGCGAGAAAAACTTCACGCTATTCACCTGCTTCCTGACCTTCAACATTTTTGCCATGCTGGGCAGCTTGACCACGTCCTGGGCAAAGTGGCCGGGACCACGATTCCTGTGGTTGCCAGTGGTTGCACGTCTGGTGTTCATTCCTCTGTTCGTCTTCTGTAACTACGTGCCGCCAGATAAAGTTCGCACAGCCCCTATCTACATCGACAACGATTGGGTCTACTGGGGCATCGGAATCCTGATGGCCTACAGTTCCGGATACCTCAGCTCTCTGGGAATGATGTACGCCCCGCAGACGGTGCACGCCAAGTACCAGAGCACAGCCGGAATGTATGCCGCTGCCATGCTGATAACGGGCATCTTCTCGGGAGTACTGTTCTCGTATCTGGGCCCAAGCTTCGTCATATAGTCTTTCATTGTTCGAATGACATTTACTAACAATTACATTTATCATTGTTCATTTTTAACAACGTATTTGACTCATTGTATACTTAGTTTCGGGCTCAAGACCAGTTCTGGAACCTGGCCAGTTGGTTTCGTTTTAACCAATCACTTTAACAAGATTCATTTAATAAAGTTTTTTAATTACCACTTTAATACATGAAATGAATTTATGTATTTATTTATTGTATTTATACAAATATAATGGTACAAATTAAATCAACAAAATACCTCCTATCCATGGGAAAATGTGCCGACAGAAATATAACATGTATTGTCTGACAATTCGGTCCTAATTGATGTACATATATGAATCAATTAGACAGGGGTCTAACAAGTCAATGGAATATTTGGTTCGTTTTTATCACAGCTTCATCCGTCCAAATAAAGTTTATTCCGTACTTGCACAAATATATGTACACATAAAACATAATAAACATTTAATCAGTGCAGCCTTTGAAGTGCACGGGAAACACAACGAGAAATAACAATAACTAGATTCAGACTAACCGAAACAGTAGATACCCTTGTTATGGGTAACACTTTCGAAATGAAACAAAGAAATTGAAATGGTTTTGTCAAATAGAAGTATGGAAAATTAGAAAAATTATATAAGCTTTTTGAGTTTTAACGAAAAACAAAAAGAAGTCATTTAAGGCAGTAATCCATTAACACATCTACGTTCTTAACCAAGCATTTATAATTATTTGTAAAACAATCAGGAAAATAAATACAATAAATATTGTAAATATATATGTGGTTCTTTTAAAACAGTTTACAAACTTAACTTGGTTGGATAATCTCTGCTAGGGTATTGAAAACCATAATTTAATGTAGATATACAAAAAATTGTGTTTAAGTGTGGCGCCGAAAACTGATTGGTAAACAAAAACAAAAAACCAAACAAACGGCCTTATCTTCGAAGACTCATAATTACCGCAGGGAGCAGCTAGTAGCAGATAAACATATCAGTTCCATTTGTCACTCGGGTGACGTCTAGTACCTATTTATGTATTTAGAAGGGCAAACATTTTGGGGGGCCAGGTCAAACTCAGCTCCCAGCAAATCTCAAGGTGATTTTTAATCTCCGCCCTGCGGATTCGACAAGAAGTACATAATCTTGAGCAGCTCATTGAACTTTGGCGTGTCCCTCGGGTGGCGCTTTTCAAGGCCAGCAATCTGCTCCAGCGCCACTTCCACATCCACTACATTGCACAATATTGATTGCAGACGCTTAGGATACTTTCCCATGGATTGCTCCACTCGCTTTCGTGTAGTGTCCAACATAGCAAGTTGCTCCTGGGGGCTCACCTTATGGTAACTGACCACCAGTTGGGTCAGTCGCGGAAGGCTGTCGGCCATCGGAAAGCCGTAGTCCTCGGCGTCAGACAGTCCGAGGCGCTCTAGGCGTTTGCTGCCCTCCGCCTGTAGAATCGTCGCCTCCACGGGATGTCGGTTCGAAGTGAGGTCCAAGTGCTTCAGAGGCAGCTGGTCCAGCAGTTCTGCCAAAAGCGTAGGTTCCACCGAACATTCGGGAGCGACCAGTGTCTCCAGATTGACCAGTCCAGTGATGTGTTTGCCAGTGATGTAGGCACTGGACACGCTAAGGCTGCGCAGCTGGCGGCAGCTCTTGGCTATAGTGTTAATCATGCTGTTGTTCATGCTTTCGTCCGCGATGCAGAGCTCTCGGAGATTACTGTAGTCCCTTCGCAAGTAAAAGGCCAGATCAGGTCTCAGCAGATGACGTCCCAGGTACGAATCGAAGGCCTTCTTGTGCACGTTCCAAATATACAGCTCCTCCATTGCCGGACTGGTGAGTTCAAAGAAATATACGTAATCCTCCTTGCTGAGGGGCTCCAGAATGGAATCGGACACGGAAACCTTCCGGTAGCGTGGTTTTCGCCACACAATGAGGCAAAGAAGCTCCTGGAACCGCGGCGCCAGTCGAGCCATCTTTATCTGCTCCACGAGAGGCAGAAACTCCAGTATATTGCACACGCAATCATCGTTTAGCCTCTCCATGGTAAAATATTTTTGTGGCGAAATTAAAGAAGTAAATAATTCACATTTGAACAGTGTGACCGTTTGAAATTAATATCGGGTACTTATTCGTCTTATCGTTGCTCTCAGGTTGCTAAATACATCGATAACAATTAAAAACGTAAATAGAGCGGGAAAATTTAAACGCTCATAAAGGGGAATACATAATATGTTGTGTTAAAAAAAGCTGTGATCACTAATTGGCAAAATACAAATATGTAGTTAAGTGAAGTTTTATGCTAATCTGTAGACCCACGAATTATGTGGACTTCTGGGACCAAATTGATGCCGTTAGAATATTGACTTACATATATCTAAAAAGAAAAGTGACAAAAAAATTTGATAAAATAAAGTATAAATGGTATTAAATGGTGGTTTTTTAAAGTGTTTGATTTGATTTGTTTCTGTCAACGATATAATTTTTGCAGTTGAGCTTAACGCTGACTATTCAGCTCCTCTGGAAAATCATTTCGCTGAAAGTTTCTGCTTTCGCCCCGACATCAATCGGAAAAACTTTCTGTGTGCCCCGTGGCCCGCACTCGCCTTGCATACGTATCAATTAACATTTTGAGTGGGTTTCCATGTAGAACTGTCACTTTTATACGCATCATGCGGCGTTGCCCGCACTCCCGCCACTAAAATCGAAAGCCCCAAACCGAATTCCAATTTCTCCGTCTGACTGTTCCCATTTGTGTGGGGTACGGGGTGCAGGGTATGGGCCTCACATGATTTGTGCGTGACCATGCGAAATGTAAATTATTTATGTATTGTAGGTCCGTATATAAGGCATTATCCTGCGCCAGTATTGAGCTCCGCTTTCCTCTGACAGGCGGCAGGCATCTCAAAGTCTGAATCGCCGTCTGTGTCTCGGTTTCACAATGGCACAGAAATAGCCAACTGTTGGAGGAACCCTTGTCAGGACATGGGACGGCAATTGATTGGCATTAGCGGCAGGCTGGCAGTTTGGGAGGCAGTCTCAGGATGGCGATGGCTGGTGTGCCCAGAATAACCAATCGGCGCAAAAAATTTAAGCAAACACTTACAATTTACATTCCAGCTATCGTAGATGCCATAAATTGGAAACGGGGCCGAAATTAGGTCACTGAACCTTCATCATGTTTGCAGTAAGCTGACACCTTTTTTGATTACATACAAACATAAATGTTATGTGTTTGCCTACCTCGGAACTTGTACGTTATAAGCGTTTTAAAAAATATACAGAAATAAGAAACTTCAAAGCTTTATAAATGATGGTATAGTCCTTCCATTAGACTTTCTTTGGGCTCTTCCTTATTTTTGACCTTCATTGCCTGACACTTTTTAGGTTTTCTTTTGGCAATAGTATCTTCCTATATTTCCGCAATGTGCTATAAATAATTAATTCTTTCCGTGTACGCCAATTCAGCATTGCAATGTAACGATACCGTCTCCTTGTCGACTGCTTAAATTAGATAATGACCCGTAGTGACACATGTAAGTAATGGCAGCAGCGAACCCATCGTTGGATTTCCTACTTTCCCACACCGACATTGTTCTTGGGCGTTTCGGGTTTCCCGATTTAAGTGGCCGGCAATTTGTGCCGGACATTTTCATTGTTGCGGGTCAATTATAAGCGCGATTATGGGGAACGGCCATGCCATCCGTGCATTATACACCGTATTTTCATATTTGTTCCCGATAACCGCTGGCCAACACCCCGCTTGAGTGGCAATTAGACGCTCGCCGAAATCGCTTCGATAAATTATTAGCTGCCAAAACGGGGGCATTTCAAACTTGCCACCTCTTTGGCTTCGGATCGTTGGACGGGAAAACGGCCAAAAGGGAAAGAAAAGAAATGTGTAAAACGGCATCAAATATGCAACACTTTTTCTTGTTCAGCGCCTTGGCAAACAATTGGCCAATTAAGTCGAAAGTTTGCCTGCTCGATGCCGGGGGTTTTTAGCCCGAACCCCGTTTGCCACCCCCTCCCTTTTGGCCCTCGTCCGTTGGCCCCAACTGATGGCCATTGCATGCCAGGCGCACATTTTGTGGCCATTTGCGTGCCTCCCTTCAGTCCGGGGCTCGTGGCCAGCAAAGGGGCGTGGGGGCGGGGCACTGCAGCTCGTTACGTGTTTTATGCAGATTGCCGAACCGGACTTTTCCACGGTCCACGGTCCCCGGTCCACATTTTCGATTTTCCGAGCCCTAAGTGCAATATTTCATTTTTAATTCGGACTCCAGAGGTGTGGATTTGATTTAGCTGGCCAATGGGACGGGAAATTGATCGAAATGTTTCATGGCATGTTGGGGAATAAAGTATTTGCTAATGTGGGGCTTGGGATTACTTGAAAGGTTTGATTCATGTCAACTGGAAATGGAGAATATAAATGCAAAGTCCTGTAACCCGATGAATTAAACTGAACTTACCTCGTTTCTAGTTCCTAATAGGAACACCCAATAAAAACACGTTGTCACTTCAGTTTCCTTTTTTGGCTTTCATTTATTTTAGGTATTTTCGTTTTCCACGATTTCCTTTACTAAATGCCTGGCGAAATTATTGAACGTCTCAGCTAATTAAGTCAATGTAATTACATATTAATTTTAAATTCATATTATTATATTGGTTAGTTTGGTTTTGCTTCATGGAAGAGAAGAAACTTGTTGGATCACAAAGGTTTTGTTTTCGCTATCGGCTTAAGTATTTCTCAAACGCTCTTTAACGAAAGGAGTAAACAAAGTATTCGAATTGAGCTAACCACCTTAAAGCTTATTTACATTAAACAACAGAACTAACAACTTGTAATCGATTTCGTTGGTTTTAGGCTTAGGTTAGGCTAGAATTGCATCTTTGCACATTAGCTTTCGGATCTCTTCTCAAGGAGACACTATATTCCTTCTTAGATTCTTTCGTTTAGTTTACGGTAAGGCTGAAGATAGAGTATTAAAATTGTTTGTTGTTTAAGAGTAAAAGTTGTTTATAAAATATATTTATCATATATCAAAGTATAGTTATTTAGTTATGCATAGGCGTATATTACAGTTTACCTTTTTTACAGAGCCACTCGCTCAGGAGTCGAGCTTTTGGTTGAGCTAACAGTATTTATAGTTTTCACTTTACTTGGTTTCAATAGGTTGTAACTCGAATAATGCAAACGCTTGATCCTCTAATTGAACTAAACTACCACTTCCGTAAATGTATACATATTTATTTGATTTCTTGTATATATCGTAGGTATATATTTGCTTGTATAATTACTAAATGGTATTTGAGTCAATATTCATTATGTCGTAGGTGTGTTTATGTATATATTGCAAATTTCGTTAATCCTCTACGGCGCGTTGCTACATTTTCATAATTGTATATATATTTATTTAATTATTCCCGCACGTTTCTTTGGTAATTGGTCCTTAGTACACTACATAGAAAGCATTTGAATGTTTTGTTTTCGGCGTTCCCTTTGTTTTCGAGCCTTTTTCAATTTTCATGGCTCGCCGACACAGCATCGCACTTATGGCTTCATCTCGGATTTTTATTGTGGGTGGGGGTGGGGGTGGGTAGTAATGGGGAGTTCGGAATAGGCCCATTTAAGGCAAACACCTTTATCCTTTATTTTGCGTATGTCAACAGGACGAGGGAACGAGAGCACCAGCTGGCCTTTTACAGCCCCTCTTACGGACGACCTTTCGGGCTAAAAATAAGCGCCTTCACACCGACACACGCCCCCAACTCACACACACACACACACAAGCACAGAATCACTGGCCAGGTGTGGCAGCAGGCATCTGTGTGAGTTAATTGTGGACAGGAAAACCTGCGGCTTAGCCAAACATTGGCATGCGTTCTGCTAGCGTCTAAAAACGCGACGTAAAAAGCTGAAACCGCCAGCGCGGCACATAAAAGTGTCAGGCAGACATAAATTTATGTTGGCTTGCAATTTTCCAACACCAGCACACATCACTGCCTACCTGATGGGAAGAAGAAGGGGCGGGGAAGGGGTGTCGCTGTAAGGACGAGTTTATACTTTGTGTAGCATACTTTGCGGCCAACGCGGCTTTATTATTAAAATTGCCCTGAAAGTTGGGGGAAACTCTATACCGACGGGATTGCTATTACTACGAGCTGCAGACTACGTAAATGGATACTCGCATTTATATTTATAGAGATTTAGCGGGAAACAAAGTAGTGTTCTGTTCTGTTCTGTTCTGGGAACTTGAACAGATTATATTGCAAATGGTAAGACGCCATTTAGCTGTCGTATTAAAAGGCTGCCAACGAGTTCCCAGGAATTTAAAAATGTTCAACAATGGGATAGAGCTTGCCGCTCGGCAAATAAGTAAATAAATAATACAACACTGGAAAATTTTACGTAAAGTTTAATGTGATAAACCTCCAAAATTCGCATATCTTGGAGAAGTGCTCTGCCCACAGTCAGAACTATAAACCTGAATCCAGCAGCGGTTGCTAATTAACTGCTGCTCTCCAAAAATGTGTGCCAAATGTCTAATTAAAGATAATCCCTTTATATAGTACTGCCTTACTCTGGGAGGTAAATAAACGGAAGGAATGGGGTAAATGAGATTTGTACTAATTGTGCGATGCAGTGTCGTTGGCTTTTCTTCTGCTCCCCTTAATTTTCATACATTTTGAGCATTGCTTTTATCCCATTTTATTTTTAATGTGTATCGCAGCTATTTTTGACCTTTTTCTCATTTTTGTTTATCATTTTAATTCACCTTTGCTTAATTAACTATTTTTTTGGTTTTTGTTTGGACTTTGACTAACGCTACTAGACTTTCACTACTCTCGTTTTGTTTTCTTTTTAGCAGGGAAGTGGGTTTAAAAATAAACAAAAGGTCGTAAATTTATCTATTAAGTATTATTGCGCTAATTACATGCATTTATACTATTTAATTGGTTTGTTTGATTTATAATTTGTGTTCGGTTCGAATTTCACATTTAATCCTCCCTTTATTAATTTAACTTTACTTTGGCCATTTGGTAATTCTTCTGTTTGCTTTGTGAAAATTCAATTATATCTGCATTTATTCAAACGTTTTTTATGCATTTGTTTGTGTTGCGGACTCGCCTGTTTGTTTCCTTCATTTCATTTCAAATATTTATGTTTTATTTATTGCAGTGTTTTTATTTCGTCTGATTTAATTAAATTTTACTGCAAACGAATTATTTTCTCGCCAACTGAGGCCCATCTCTCGGACATTTTTCAGTTTTATTCTGTTTTTTCGGGCAGTAAATTTTACGATCGAATTTACGAGTAACGAAAGTGAAATTAAAAACGTATTTTAATCTATCCAAACAGTGACTGAGTTTTTTAAGTCGAATGCGTGTTTGACTTGGTAAGAGTTTAGTACACAAGTTCTCACTTCAATCATTCGTTTTGTCAACAGTTTGCAAATCCAGACTCAATTATGAGCTAAGTCCATAAATTCAGTCGCAATTTATGGGCCATTTCCCGCCCCCCGTGAGCTAATGGCTCACAGTTTGGAAAACTTTCCCTTGGCAAATGATAAAACCGTTCGACTATCAGAAAATGTCATTTAGAATGTTTTCAGATTTGATTTATGCTGGTCATTTCCGTTCAAGCAGAGCAGCACGAACCTCAGCTGGTTCACGTGTAGCATTTTCGATAAATGTACTTTTCAATTTCATTTCTGTTTGCCCTCGTTGGATATTTATGCAAAAAATGCATAGATTTCAATGAAATGAAAAAGTTAACCGAAACGAATGTGCAGCCTAAGGAAGTCGACTAACTAAGTTCCCTCGCTTAATTTATTTCAGGAATTGTTCCAAAAATTCTACAGTTATGAGCTACGAAGATGATTTTATGTAACTGAAATTTTACTATTGAAATAATACCTTCACTAATTATAATTAAGTAAAACATTCTTCCTAACCTTTTTCTGAAGTTTTGTATTTTATTTAGTTTTCAGAAAGTTTAAAAAAAATTTTTTGGTTCAGCCATATAATAAAAAATATTTTTAAAAATGCAAAATAACTAACTTCTTAAGAGTTTCCAAAAAAATGTGCCAAAATGCTTGGCGGGTTAAGTAAACCTCCTGCAAGGGCATTGAAATGTCACACCTGTCAGCGGAGAAATGCCGCATGTGTAAATTTTTATTGCCTACCTTTGTGCGTGCGCTCTCTCTCTCTCTCTCTTTCTGTGCGTGTGTTTGTGGTTCTGTGTGGGTGGGTGTGCCTGTGTGAGTTATGTTTTCACAACCATGTTGATTTTGTTCGCTTTGTCTGCATACATACACACTTGTTTGTTTATGCTTCTTTTTGTGCACACTTACTTGGCATTTCGCTCTCGCTGCTTTGCTGCTGCTTTTCTTATTAATTTTACACAAAATGCCATTTAACTTAGTTGTTCGTGCTGGTGTTGTTGCTGTTTGGCTATTCGGGCTGCCATTTAACAGTTGGCTGTGTGTGTCTGAGAATTGTGGATGTTTTTATGATAAATCACATTTAATGCAATTTACAAACAAACATTTCGTTCGCACGTTCCGGTCGGAGTTTGTTGGTTTTCCGTACTTCTGTTATCAGAATTACGATGTTTATATTAAATACTTGCTGCTGCTGCTGGTTCCATAATTCATGTTTATTGCTGTTGCATATCGCCGCCGTTGCCGAGGCCAGCTTTCGATTCCGGCGGCACCTGTTGTTTGAAAATAAAGAACCAACCATTAGACTTTCCAATAGAATTTGATTACCTTCTACATTAATTGACAGACAGCAAAAGAGAGAGATTGAAGTGGAAGAGGAACATGTTTGACGGACAAGAAGGATCACGTGACGTAGTTAAGCACAATCAGAGCATAAGCAAACATTTATGTAAAGTAGCAGGTTTAGGAGTGTGTGTGTGCGTGTATGTCTTGAGGTGTATGTGTATCTAGCCTGCGTAAAGGAAAAACACATCGAGCAACAACAAGTCCGAGCAAAATGCACCCACACACAAACATACGCCAAAGGATACAAATGTAGGACAGCCAAAACAATTTGTTTGAATCAAACAAAGGATCAACGAGAATTCGGGGAAACGCAAAAAAATATTCGAGGCGAAACTTTCAGAATAATAATGGGAAAAAGCTCCCGAACACAGGAAGATGTTAGAACTCAAAGGAAAAACTTGCAGACAAAGCCAAAATAATCCAAAGGAAGACCAACGAAAACTAAAATAAACACAACCAAATTCAACTAAGAGCCGCACTATTCCGCCCATCCAACGGCCCCGGAAAAAAGGCCAACAAACCAACAGCAAACACATACGATTATGACTGAGGCAGGGACCGAAATGAAGTTCGGCTGGTAAGCCTTATTAAGCCTAAAGTGTAACAAGTGTAATTCAGACTCAACGCGTTCAATATTAAATTAAGAACGAAGCGAATTGGGAAAGTTTGGGGAAGAGCGAGGACAATTATAACTTACAGCTTATGCAGATGCAGGAAGGAAGTTTGGGTTAAAGGTAACAAGAAAGTTTAAGGTGAAAATCAAAAGGAAAACTTTTAGATAAATTTATTTTGAATAGTACAAATTGTAGAAAACAATCAACGCTTATTTATTGTATAATAACATTTCCCAAATAATAAAAAAGAGGATAAAAGGCTTGAGGGTATATTTAAACATCCAACATCAATATGTGTCTTATTTCTTAGGATAATGAAAACATTTAAATAAATTCGGTCCCCATTCAAAATTGACAATAAGACATTGAAACAGCGAATAATTGGTAACAGAGTGTGAGAACCTCCAACTAATGACAACATCGAAAATGACAGCGATAATTAACAACTTGAAAATAAAGAGAATCCGACGACGAAAGGATTACAACTTAATTACAGGAACTGGCAACGGCGACTGTACCTATATCTGAAGGATGTGGGGTATGGAATCAAACTTAGCGGCCATAAAAACTATGAAAGTCCAGGAAATCCATGGAATCTGTTTGATTTTGTTGTTGCTGATCGATCTACGCGAGGTGGGAGGACAGAAACCAAACCGAAAACGTAACAAATAAGAAATGGCAGTAGTTGTGGTATTTTTTGGCGGTGATTTGGTGGGTTTGTATTTATTTGGAGAGCAGGAGAAATAGAGAGAGTTATATATATATAATTGTGGTAGGAGAGTGGAATATTTTACAAAGTATATCCTTGGCCATCTACACCACCACTTACCAGTTTCTTGAAACAATCCTCGAAGAAGGCGGTCATCGAGCGGTACAAGTGCCTTTTGACCCCCGAAAGGCTGTGGCCCTCGTCGGGATAGATCTGCTGCTTGTAGAGAACTCCTTTGCTGGTCAGAGATCTGGCCAAAACCATCGACTGCTGCACGTGCACGTTGTCGTCGGCGGTTCCGTGGACCAACAGGAACTGGCGATCCCGCAGGTTGTCCACGTACTTCGACAGATCGCTCTCCTCGTAGCCCTTGTAGTTGTCCGTCACGTTCGGGAAGCTCAGATAGCGTTCCGCGTACGTGGAATCTGAAACCAAAGAAAATTATTGTTCATAAAGAAAGATCAACAAACAAGTAATAGTTTGGTAATTTGATAGGTACAGTTCGTGATTGGATATCTTATATTTTATTATTATTTTCAAATAATTTTCTGTTTTTTTAACGTAGTTTTTTCGCTAAAGTGTCGTTTCCTGATGTTTTGCCAAGAGAGAGCTCAAAAAAAAAAAAAAAAAAAAAAAATCAATAAATGTATTTATTCCTCTGTAGTAGTGAACATTAAACATATACTTATTGACAGTGAAGGCAGTTTATTGTAACTACGAAGAAGAAAGTAAGTAGTTCCAGAAAGGATTTCGAAAACAAACGGGGTTCACAATAAAGATATTAAAAAATAATTTTTACTTGAACGAATGCCTTAAGAATTCAAATAAAATAGAAATTGAAGGAGCGAACTGAACTCACCGTATAACTTCCAGTTGGTGACCGGCGATACGCTGATTCCGCACTGGAAGATCGACTGCTGGCCGGCGAGGGCCAGAGCGGCGGTGTATCCTCCGTAGCTCCAGCCCCAGACGCCCATGCGGCGGGAGTCGATGAAGTGCAGGTTGTCCCTGAGGTACTCGCTGACCTCCAGTTGGTCGGAGACCTCGACGCTCCCCAGCCGCTTGTAGACCTCGTGCAGCAGCTGGTAGCCCTGGCCCGCCGATCCCCGCCCGTCGATCTCCACCACGATGTAGTCCTTGCTGCCGGAGAGGTAGGTGTTCCAGTCGACGTGCCAGCGGTCGGTGACCAGCTGGCTGCCCGGACCGGAGTAGACGTGCAGGATGGTGGGGTACCGCGTGATCTCGTCCTCGCGCAGCACCGGAGGCAGGTAGAGCCGCACTTGTGCGTGGTATCCGCCGGAGATCATCACGGGGAAGGTCTTGATCTGCGGCATGGCCGTGCGGGCCATCTTCTCCTTCAGCCGCGTGTTGTTCTGCACGGTGACCAGCAGCTCCAGGAACTGCGACTTCGGCTGCTCCGCCGCCTTCTCCTCGCCGTTTTCCGTGGGAGGTTCCTCCTGCTGGGAGTTCTGCCTTTTGACCTTGGGGCTCTCCACAGAGGTGGACTTCAGGCCGTAGATGATCGAGGTGGGCACCACGGGTCCCAGGCAGTCGACCAGGACATATTTCGCCTGCCGGGAGAGCGGGAACTGTGCCTCGTGGTACAGGCATTCACTCGGAGGAGGAGGCAGTGGGGCGCCCTGACCCCTCCCCGGATTCTGCTGCTCCACCGGGAGAGCCGGTTGGGGAGCAGGAGCCTCCGCCTCCTCGGAGTCCTCCCAGTCGTCGTCCCAGGCGGTCACCAGCTTCGGCGGCGACTTGGTGTGTCCCTCGTCGTAGCCCTCGGCGAACTGGCTCACTGCCGGGCAGGTCAGGCAATCCGGTGGGTGGAGGGCCTGACCTTGGCGGGCCGGCAGGGCGGATACGCGATAAAGGTGCTGCTGCGAGGGAAGCCGCTCCGGAGTTCCCAGGAAGTAGCTGCAGGGTAAATTGAGACCACCGTTAATTTAACTGGTTTAAGATTCATCTTAAAATTAATTAAGCTTGGGATCGTTGATTGCACATTAATTATTCTTCACAAAATAATTATAACCCTTTTATTTTGAATAATCATAATTTAAATGCTGATTATATAAAAATATATAAGAAAATAGATTTCTAATTCGACTCCCAATTTTTATTTGCATTTCGTACGTGATATATAACATAACAGGTACACATGACTGGAAATTTGATTTTATCAATAAATTTAATATTGTGTTTGGTTTTGTGAATGAATCTTTACTTAAACCGTTTTAAATGTTTTAAATATTAGTCGTAAACATGCGTAGCCGCATTCAGTATTAATACATCCTCAACTCGGCATTATACACATAATTTTCCAGTGAACGCACGGAAGCGAAACCGGACTCGTGTGCGGGCAATCACTTACATCCAATTATCCAGCTGATCCCAGTGCAGCAGGCGGTTGACCTCGTAGGGTCCGTGGGTGAGGGGCAGGACCCGGTTCTTGTCGATGTCCACGTGCACGATGTGCCGGAAGTAGCCTGTGATTAAGGGGTATTGGATTGCAGGAGAAAGGGAAAGGGAAAGGGAAAAGGGGAGAAGGGCGGAAGGAGAAAGCAGGCTTTGTCACTCGGGGAAACAAAGGCCAATTTGACGTCTCAGTGACTTACCGAACAGGCCGTCTCGCAGGGGGGAAATGGCCACATAGACGCTGGCATTGGTGGCAAACAGGGGAACTGCCACGGTGTCCACCCAACCACGTCCATCTCCACTCACGCGGTGGGTCTGGAAAGAGGGAGGGGGTTGGAGAGGGGTTGTGGGTTTCATTAGGAGATTGGCGGTTCGGTGGCTACGCACAGCCGGAAGCGGCCCATCAAACTCACCTCAATGCACTCGAACGACGGAGCCTTGCACACGCTGACCACCGAGATGTTCTGCGGACGATTGAGCCACACCACCGCGATCTTCGAGTGACTCACCCAGCTGGCGCTGCTGAAGTAGTGATCCCTGTGAAAATAAGCAAATAAAGTTTATAAACTAGGTCATGAACCTTTTCTGCATCTAATTTAAGGTAGAAATAATTCCACAAAATAAATATGTATTGGTTATTTTTTGCTAAATTAACATAACTTTTGCACAAAGATATTTGAAATTGAATTTATTATTTTTTATTTTAACTATCAACTTAATACATTTTGTAATAAGTTACTGGCTAAATATTTTTCCAAATTTAAATTCAGAACAAATTTAAAATGGTATAGCAAAATGGAAGATAAATCCAAATTATTCAGTTGAGTTTAAATTGTGGTTGTTTTATAACGGTTTGATAGCTTTATATTTTAATAATTATTCATATGACAAGCATTTCATTTTGGTCTGTCAGGCAATGGAATTTTTGAAATAAATAATCGATAATAAAATTTGTTAATGTAAATGCCAAATAAGCTTATCTAAAGGCTTTAATTCTATTTTTTCTGTCCGGTTTATTGTGAAATAAATGCAAAAATGGTGCAAATTGATTTCTTTGCCAACTGAATGACTTGAGTTAAAAACTTACTCATGAGCCAAAATTTGCGGGGGTCGCAGGTCTGTGATGCGAACATTCTGTGGATCCTTCAGGTCGGCAACTCGCAGGGTTACAGTTGGGTTCTGAGTGCCTGGCTTAGGATAGCTGTTAGGAAATGAAAACAATAGTTGAGGTTAAAGCTTGGATCGACCTACACACATCCCGACTCATTAGTTCCCTTGACCCCCCAAATTGGTCAGCCTTCTGTGCAGGGAAATCGTACGATGACCTTTTCGCAGTTCCGTCTAGCAATTTATCAAACCCAATTGACAGGGGATCAACCTTAATACGTCACAGCTTGCTTGCGGGAGCCCCAAGTGTTGCTTTGTCTTATGCCCGGCAACTAAAGCTGGAGCCCCAACTGTCAGTGAGCGGGATTTGGGATTCAAGCGGGGAGGATAGTCCCAGGGAAAAGGTTGAAGCCTGAATCCACCTGTGAAAAGGTCTTTCCACTGTCACTTCATGAATTTTAAGCATGGTGCCAAAAGGCCATTAGAAGTTCCGAGGGAACGGCATCATTAACACATAATCGAAAAGTGATATAAAACGAGCTCCGGCGTAATGGGGTCACGACTTACCGTAAGGACCTGATTTCCGGGTACAGGTTGGCATGCGGATTACCTCCGCCCGATGCGCTGCCCGCTCCCCCGCCCCCCGTTCCCGCTGAAGCCGCCGCCGCCGCCGCTGCCGCTGCCCCTCCTGATGGAGGACCCGTCGTCCCGTACCAGGCGAAGTGCTGCTCCTGGACGAGGGAGTCGTTGAAGGTGGCGAACAGCATCAGTTGGCCGTTGTCCGACATCCAAATTGCATTATTCGCATGAAGGATCTCCTCTGCGAGTGCGAAACCAAACGAAACGAAACGAGACGGGAAATGGAAATGGAAATAAGTGCCAGTTGGATGGAATATAAAGCGCAGCTGGATTGCAGTTCAAAGCGGGCTTCTTAAATTGATTCGAAAACTTACTCAATAAATATCAAAAGTTGAAAGCAAACTTTCTTACCTAACCATATTATGGAGGTGTATATCAAACAGAAGTGGATATACATTTAATATGAGAGCTTCTTCAAACTTAACGCTTGTATAGCTTGTATAAGCTTTTCCGTATAACATTATGTTTATACAGTTTGTTATGTTAACACCGCATACCGATTAAAAATGTATTGTTGCAAAAATGTATAATTTGTTTTCGTATTGCTCGTAAGTAAAATCGTAATACTTCATATTAATATTTTAAAGTTATATAAACCTCTCTGCTTTAATTGTTTAAAAATGTTGTGTTTATCGGGAGTTTAAAATAAATTATTGAATTATTATTCACCTCTGTAAATGCTATAGAATTCTCCTTGATATTTCTACCAGTAATCTATTAATCTCATTTAAAGCACATGCAAGTTCTTTTTGGATAATTTTCCCGTTATCCATTCACAGTGAAACCCCTTGAACAAAGCCGGTTTAGCTCTCAGTCTGATTCAGGAAAATCCGGGAAAATCAGGAAAAAAAATCCTCTCACCTTCGTAGAGCCAGTCCGGGATGCCGTTGTAGACCACTCCGGGCACCGCGTCGTGGGTGATCCGGTGGACGGCCGAGCTGCGCACCTCCTGGCGGTAGAAGATGTCGTATCCCTGCACCCAGACCAAAGCGTTTCCGGCGGGCGTGAATCGAGCGAAGTGCAGGTAGGGCCACTCATCCTGCAGCGGACTGTGGCGCAACTTGATGCTCTCGCTGGAGGAGGGATTAAGATGTTTCGGATGAACGGTTGAACCAGATGGCACACTGCTTTCAAGCTCACCTGGTCTGGATGTCGTAGAGCGTGTACTGGGCCAAATACGAGTGTCGAAAGAGCTTCACAACGTTTTGGGCCAGGAGCAAATAGCGCTTGTCCGCCGAAATGGTAAAGGTGAATGGAGCCAGGGTTTTCTGCGGGTGGAGCGAATGGAGTGGTATTTAATGCTGGATGCAAATTATGCGGAAAACCGTTGAGAGGAGCTTGCCACCGCCAATGCGGCTGTAAGTGCGCGAACACGTTGCGTATACGCAATTTTAATTAAAATTTTAATGGTCTTTTCTGATTTGCACGCAAAATGGCGGAAGTTTGGCTGTTGGCTCGTTCGAAATTTGTGGCATTGTTTACGGCTCTGAATACCGAAATTGTTGCCAAAGAGTTGCTGGCTCAATTTGGCTGGCAAAAACAGTCTGGAAATTATCCTCCACAGAGCAACTCAATCTAGAGGCAAGTTGATGTTGTGCACTTAGCATTTAGCTATTCATTGCTCATTTCTTGTTTGAGTTCGTGGTGGAAGTAACTTTATCCCAGATCCTTAACCGACTATGAATATGCAGTGCCATTATGCCGTTTCGACTGCTCGACTGCTCGACTTTGCAGTCGTGTTTCTTTGGACTCGACTGAACATTAATTATTTCCCACTCAGCTGGCAACTGTTGACTTGCAGTGGCTGCACTTGTTGCACTTGCCACACTTCTTGTCTGCATATTTTGGCCCCGAGGCCCTCAAAATGTTCGCTTGCCAAGTTGGCAAAGAAAAGCTTTGGCTTTCACCCCATTCCACTTCCACCTCCTTTTGCCATTCATTTTCTCTGCCTTTAGTTTCCTTTATTTGTTTGTTTTTCAATTCCATCCGCGCATTATTCATTAGAGAGCCTTTCCCCCCTTTCCATCCGCTTTTCCCATGTGTGTTTACCCAGTCATTGACATAAAAATCTTTTTGCCTTTTATCGCTATCGCTGGTTTGGGTTTGAGTTTGGGTTTGGGCTTGGGGGAAGTCGCCGCTCCCGGTTAACGATAACTGGGCCCATTTGTTTCGCCCACTTTCGTGCGCGCCATAATATCAGTTAACATTGCCAAGTCGAGTGTGTACACTTGAGATATCTGCCTAGCGGCACGCCCCCTCCCCCCGCCTCCGCCCGCTCTATATAGCGACTATATCTAGGACTCGTAAATAAGAAGGGGCAAATATTTATTCTGCCCAGAGAGATAAGCAATAAGTAAACAAGTTGTGGGGAGGGGGGAGGGGGAGGTTGGGGATTGGGAATTGGACAAAATGTACTTACGAATGTCACGTTGGACATGAGGACACGTTCCGAGCGATTGGCTGCATTCAGCAGACAGATGCGACCCAAATGGTCCTGGTAGAGGAACTCCTCGCCTGCAAAGAGCGGAAATTAAAGCCGATTTGCCAGATGGAATACATGGCACTCGAATGGGATGCGCAGGACCCACCGTCTATCCAGCTGCCGTTGGCGTTCTGCGGCATGAAGAGCCCGTCGACGATGTCCTGCAGCTTGATGCGCTGACCCTTGACCCGCGGCCCCTCATCGGGCGGCGTGAGCAGCACCTTTTTTGATAAATGTAGAAATTTTATATGTGGTCTTCTGCACACTCACACAGCCAGTCAGACAGACACAACACACGTGAACAACACACACACAACATCAACATCAACACCAACATCACGAGCAACAGCAACAACGAATGGAAAGGAAAATGGTCGGTGGTGTGGGGAAGGTAAATTTATCAGGCAGCCACAAAATCGCAAAAAAGTAAACAAACAGACAAAAGACAAAAATGAGCGTAACGTATTTACACAAAAATTTATCACAATTGCCTTAAATATATATATAGGTACATACATATACATAGACATACAGATACGAATACACATAAATATTAATGGCAGTTCGAGTTTTCTTTTTTTTTTTTCCTTCGCACCGAATGCCGTTTAAATATTTACACAAACAGCCAAAAGCAGGCCGCAAAAATTTTACTGGCGAACGGCGGGCGGAGTTTCGGCAATTAAAAAGGAAAACTTTCACCATCCAATTACGCGTGAGGATTTGTTTATTGTGTGGTGATTTGAAGTGAGCAGAGTAGCAGTTTAGTCCTGAACAGAAATGCTTTGCACACCAAACTGGAATTTGCATTGTGGTGCACAGGAAATCAAGATATTTAATTTGAATTTTGTGTTTGGAACTTTAGCAAACGATTCAATTGAATTTTTATTTAATTTATTTATTTTACATTTATCTATTTCAAAAGAAGTGCTATTTGCGCAGGTTATTTGATAAGAGTGTACGAACTTCGGTGCCGGAAAGTGTTTATTCCATTTTCTCTATCTTGTTTTTGTGTGGCTGGATGTTGTTTTGTTTTTATAGTATTTTGGCCATTGCTTTGGGCTTGTTTTCGAAAACAAGTGTGGCTAATTGCACAGTGCGTTTGACGAATCAATTTTGGCAACTCGAATTGGCCAATCATTGATTGTCAATTCGCAAATGGGGCGAACCATAATAGCAATGAATCCCATTTAATTGCCCATAAATTCATTTGTGTCGCCGATTTCCACAATTAAGCAATAACCATACAACATGCTGTACTCTTTTTCCCCACCTTCTGTGGGAAATGTTGACTCAGACTCACCACCGAAGTTACAATCAGGGCCAGGACAATGATGATGACCAGCAGGGCGATGAGGATCCCGCGCCAATTCCTCTGGTTGGGATTGCTGGAGACCAACTGCGGAGAATCAGAAGAAAACAGTCAGAAGGAACAAAGAAATGGAGAGGCAGGGAAACATTAGCAAAACTAATTGGAAAACGATGCAATGCAAATGCTGCACATAAAGAGCACGTGCGGCTCATTAGCCCGAAGTTATGAAGGCCGACGAAGGCCGTAATAAACCGTCGGAACCGCAAATAATTGGTTGGCCAAGATGCAATTAGTAAACTGATGATTCAGTTCTCCCCTTCTGTGCGGGCTCATAGGCGCTCTTCCTCTCAAGTTGTGTCTACCCACAGACTTTGTACATATAGAACATACTATACTATTATATATAGAACCAACATGAGCGGCCAAAACCCCTTGGAAATCAGGGCTTAATGCATATTTAATGTTGTCAGGCAACAAAGGAAGAGGGAAGGCACCCAAATTAAACACGACAAAAACTAAACTCACGCAGCCCGCACAAGTTGATACCGATTTTTACGAGGAGTGCGTCCTTTGTCAGCGGCTCCTTCCGATTTCGTCCTAGACAGTCCATCATGTCGCCCACAAACACATACAAGCCGCTTAGCCGAATAATTAATTAGGGGCCCATAAAACTATGCTCCTCGGCTGGATAATGTAAATATGGCAATGTATTAATCAGGACTTGCGTGCCGGAATGCCTGGGCTTATCAAATTAGTTTTGTGGACAATGGAGTACTTATTTGCGTTATCATTTAAGTTGTTCTGTACTTAAATGCTGGAAATTTTAATTTGTTAAAGAGGAGTTCGTAAGTCAGGGAAAGGGGGAACTAATCGATTTGCCCACAAATTTTGTTTGCCATTATCCTCATTATCCTCTGAAGTCGAGGGACAGCGGGGGCTCTCAATTAAAATCGCATAAATATTTTCAGCCCGCCAAACTCCCCTTTTGGCCATTAGTACAAGCAGGTACATCGCGAATCTTAATTAATAACACGGCTCACATACAAATGGGGGACAAATTGCGAGAGGACACGTGTACCTCTGCACACGCATCCTTCGCCAGCATGTTTATTTATAAGGATTCCTGCGCGCGTGTGTGTATGTGTGTGGGCCTCCACTTCGGAAATTGCAGCCAGCAGCAGTATTTATTACCACACAGGAGCTGCGCCGCGAGTAAAGTGAAAACAACGTAAACTAAACTATCAAACAACAAAGGAGTCCTCAAGTCCTGCGAACTTTCGGGCAACTTTCCCCCGCTTTTCTGTTGCATGAAAATATTTTCGTGGAAACAATCATAATAATAATGATTTCTTGGGGGCACACGCGGCGTATGCTTTATTGTTCCTAATTGAATTGAATTTATTCTCGTCCGGGGGGTCAAGTAATAGAGACCTCAGGACACTTGCACACAACAACTGGAGAACAGGAGAGCACAAAACACTCAGCTTGATTGCCGAGAATAAGGATATGCACACACACAGGCTCAAGTAAATATGCAAAAATACCGCCATAAACGAAATTTAAACACTCAACTTGATGAGTTGCTGTTAACGCTAAAGGAATTAAAAATAATGACAGTCATCAATTTCAACAAAGACCCGCGCTGCCGCAAATTCAATGAGTTCACTTCTGACGTTCTGGGCTCTGGGTTAATGGAGGAGTTCGAAGGATACCGGAGTGAACGGAGCACATGAGCAGCGCTTCCTATTAATTTCAATAAATTTTTAATGCTCTGCTATTAAGCCGGGGAGAGCCGGAAAATATATTTCATTTCTAGTCGGAAAATTAGGCCCGAGGAAATTAGTCGGCAGTAAATTCGGCTGGCAAGAAATTTTAAGCTGCCTTCAGAAAATTGCCAAAAGAAATTAAATTTTAAAATATTCGTAAACGTTTTTTAGGTAATAGGTTTACAAGCTGTCTTAAATACAGCTTATATATTTATGGAAAACAACAACTTCTAAGCTTAACTTTTGGGTGAAATAATATTGTGAGTTGTGAAGACATTACAAAGCAATTTTTAAAATTTGTAATGCTTGATCAAAATAATATCTAGATTATTTAAAAAGAATTCAATTTTAGCAACGAATTCACCCTTAAAAAGTTGCCAATTCATGCAGTTTTTACATAACAAAAATAGGTAATAAATCGAGTGCAATAACAATTATAAATCAATAAATAAGTGAACGATAAATAACCAAACTTCACCGATTTTAAGCAAGATTTTCGAATTGGCAGAGATCTCGGTTTCCCCGAGCTGCAATAAATTAAAGCGAAGGCCGCTTGCTTTATGGGCATTGTAAACTTTGCGGCCCGAATGCAAAAATATTGTAACCAAAATTGCACACAATGCGGCACTCGAAATACGCGTATGAAAATGAAATGCAAAAGCGGAAATCGCAATGAAAGCGGAAAGCGATTTAAGGGCGCCGGGAAACAAAAAAGCGGATGCCAGCGATTGGAAAAGCGTAAACCTCTTTTCCCACTTAATGATGTTTGTTCGCAGGATTCGCTGGCACTCTTGTTTGCTCTTTGTTTCAGCTGACTCTTGATTACCGTGGGATTTTGGATCAACATTGTTATCATTTCGCTTTCCCTGTGACCGCAAACAGGGAAACCAGTTTTTCCCACCGGGAAAGAGCACACAGCACAGCGGAACTTGATTACCTGAGATTTAATCCACTGCAAGCCCTGGCTGCTGAAGTATTCAAGTATTCTTTTTCGGGCACCGTCCAGAGTTTAAATTCGAGCCATCGGGGTGCAGTTGGTAACTTTGGCCAGACCGAGCTTAAAAGCAGAGGATAACCAAATTAAGTCCTGCTTCCCTTCCTCCCCCCCACATCCACCTACTTTCCATTTCACTTTCGCTTTCACTTTCGCTTTCACTTTCGCTTTCTCTGAGCTCTCAGCTGGCCAGAGGGCAGGGATAATGCAAAGGATGTGCGGCGGAATGGGGCAGGGGGTGGCCAGGACCCACATACACACACCTACAATCCCGAGGAGAGCATTAGCTGCCTTTTGCGGTTGAGCTGGGCAAACTTTGGAGCTCGAGTGCAGAAAGTTGAAGGACCAAGGAGCCAGAAGCCGGGATACAGGATCCAGGATCCAGCTGGCAGGACTTTGAAGGGCCGGGTGTTGGAGAGCCGCCAGTTATTTGCATAAGTTGTCATAGTTATTAAGCTCTGAGCGTTAAAATTCTTTGCTGCATACTTTTAAGCGCATTAAAAATAGATGCCAGCCGTGGTATTTGCCAAGCGAAATGAAAGGGGAAAGTGAGTTTTGCCAGGAAAGGGGAGCTTAGGGGGTTAAGGGGGTCATGGGGGTTAAGAGGGTGAGGGGAGGTGTCCTGATCCCGCTGGCAGAGAAAACGTCGTTTTCAATTAACTTGCTAGTTGGCTCGGCAACATTGGAGATGTCCCAGTTAATCGCATTAGAAACCATCTGTTTGGCACACAAAAAGAAGGTCACCAGTGAAGTGGCCTTTGAATTCGAGCTTTTGAATTTCCCATCTTGAAATTAAATGTCCAAAAATGATTATTGGTAACAATAATTCGGAGTAATTTCAAAAGGATTTTCATTGTCTTGTTCCGGAGTTATAACATTAATTACTGAATTAAGAAGCTGTACAAATACTTATAAAAAACATCAAAGAACGATAAAGTTTTAACGCCTGTTGTTTTAAATTTGAATTCTTCATTATTAGAACAAAATATTATTACCCAAATAGTTTTCAAATTTTCAAATCTTAACTCTTAATATATCTACTAAAAAAGTTTGGTATGTTAGTAAGATAATAACTGATAGATTTAAACAACAAAAAGTTTGTTTAACTCTTTCAGTGTCCGCAAAGTCTACGGAAGTATTTTGTGTTTATCCAACTCATGGCTGACCTATGACCTTTGATAAGCACGAAGCCTGCGAATAAAATTCGATAAAGTTTGTCTAGCGATGTTTGCATTTCACTCAAAGCGAACGTATGGAAAACTACCGAGCTGACTTATTGCATTCCTCGCAGGAGGCTCTTTGTTTTTTGTTCGTGGGTATTGGAAACCTTGGAGGACCTGCGCCTCCTGCAATCCTGTCACCTGGGGCCGCCTTCCGCTCGTTCAATATTGCCCTTCGCATTTGGGGGCGACATTAGCAGGCAATCTTTATGGCCCGCTGCCTTCCTGCCAAACATGAAATGCATAAACAGTCCTTCGGCGATTGTGGGCGGGATGCAGGAATACTGCATCCTTGCACGCTACTTGCAATGGGTTCTTGTCGGTGTGTGTGCGTGTGTGTGTGTGGGTATGTGTGTGGCTGTCTGTGTCTGGCTTTCCGGCACGCCAGTTCCATTGTCTGCCCCCACCTGAGATCCCCGTCCACCTGTCTCCTCATCCATTGCAATGCATTGCATTGGGCCCTGCTGTCGACAGCAGTTTAGCTCAAGGCCGTAACGGCGTAGCATTTGCTATAACTGTCACGTGTATTCCGCCCCTCCTTCTCTTCTTCCCCCTCCCCTTCTCTGCCCCCTTTCCCCCTCCTTCTCTGCCTCTGTGTGCAAGCGTTTTCCTCTGTGTCAACACATACTTGAGCTTCCATTACACGGCCATGATTGCTTATTTCTGTGCCCTCACATTTTCCAGTCGCTCCTGCAGGTGTCCCTTCTGTCGGCGGTCGTTAGGTTGCCCGAATTTGTCAAAATAAAATGTAATATGGCAGCGCTGACACAATTGAACGCGATGTGCAGTCGCTGACTTCTCAAAGCAGATCAAGCAAGAGTGATTATTTTGACTCAGGTCCTCGGGGTGTCTTCCTTATGATTTTAGGGTTGAGTAAATACGGTTTATTCGTCCTAAGACTTTGAAAATCAACATTTCTACGATGTTGATAAACACAATGAGAATTACATGAGTAGTTTTGATATATAAAATCAACCCTCAAACAATAAAGAAATGTAATGCTTTTTGGGAGAAAAACTTTAACTGGTGTTGATGATTTTAAACTAAAGATATGAGATTGTATTGATTATTATTATGTAGTCGCATAACTATTTCCTTTTTTGGTCTAGGCAAACCTAATATGTTTTGAATTTACTTTAAATTATTTCTGCATAAATTGTTTACTTTTTTGTATTTCGAACCCAAACAAACAAGTTCTGACTCAGTTTAAGTGCGTATATGGGTGCCCCTTCATTTTAAAGCCACACTGAATAAATTGATCTCTGAATCTAGAAATTTAAATCCCACTGTTAATAAGTATTGGCTCTGGTTATTCAAAGCCTTCGCTGCACCTGTCGTCGCAATTAGCGTAGTCAAAACAGTTAATATAGATGGGGTGCACTGTCAAACTTAACTGCTACCATAACAGATGACCAACACTTTAGTCTGCCAAAAGTCAGCCCTTGGACAGCGGAGTGGAAATTCCGGCTAATTGATTTCCGCTCGAATGGCTGATTGCCATTTCGACTGTCTGTTTATCCTCGCAGCCGTTTGACACTCCCACTCGGCTGGAATTCCCCTCCAGACAACTTAGTATGCGGAGCACATAGAGTCGCCGACACGCGGTGCATGGCTAATTCAATTTTGCAATTGTAGTCGGCGATGTCAGCGCTTTGCATTTGAATAACATGCGGAATTTATTTCAATTAGCATCCCGGCCGCAGAGTTGACTTCGTGGCGCCGCAAAGAGCGCAGCGAAGCGCGAAAAGCTGACCATCAGAGTCGCCGGAGAAGCGGAGGAGGTGGGGAAAAAGGCTGGGAGGAAACTCAAGTTTCCCGGCCACGAGTCGTTGAGCGAACTTTTCTGCCTCGCCAAAGTACTTCTCAAAGGCGAATTCAGAGTGACTCGCGGCTGAAGTGGCGATGTAAGAGCTTAGTCAGCTTTTCAGCCGAGTGGAGCTAATGATAAGTTAGATTGCGGAAGGTAATATCCCTGCAATCCAATCAAAGGAATCAGAAGGGCACCGGTTTTATGGATATTTAAATGTTTAATTAGCAGGTTGAATTATGCATCCTGCTTAACCTATTTTACGTTATTAAGTCACGTTTCTCGGCTAATAGGAAACTTAATCAAAAGATAATTGATTGACACTTTATTTCCTAAATTAATCGCATTTAATTTGTACCTAAGACCAAACATAAAGTTTCCTACATACGAGAGACAGTAGAAAACAATTTTCTTATTTGATTTAATTTAATTGTAATTTGATATATTTTTCATTAAGCAATAACAAAGTCAAATGTATCCCCTACAATTAAGTTAACCCGGATGTTAAGTCTCCAAAATGTTAGGAAACATAATCAAAGCCAATTGTTTGGAACATTGTTTGTTGAAATAATCTAATTTAATTTGTAGCCGAAAGCAAACTAAACATGTTTTACTTACATGCAGAATTGCATACAAAATGGTAGTTATAATAAAAGTTATTTAGAATTAAACACAAAAATAGTTTGACTTAATAAATTTCTTTACTGGAAATTTTTCTTCTCTCTTTAACTTTTAAAGCTTGAGAGTTTAAGAGTATTATTCTTGTTGCATCTTCTTTTGCTGTTATTAATGTAAATAAATTGTTAATCACAAACCCTTTTAACGATTTTTTTGTTACAATGGCTTTTAAAAAATATACAAAAACTAATATATCGCTTCCCCTTTAATTTTTGTAATATTTTAGTTCAAAATCACTTTCTTTTTTGTACAATGTACTAAAAAGAAAACATTGAAAAAATGATTCAAGTATTTTCTCGGACAGTTTTAGCTTCTGAAAAGTTAATTAGAATTGTAGATCTATAAACCTTACTTTAGCTGGCGTCTGCTAGCTCACTAACCAATTTCCCTAACCAACATTCCCTAGTGTGTTCTCCTGGCGCCTTTAAATTTGCCCGGTCATTAGGCAATTTTAAGTTTTTAATCCCGGCACGAGGCTTGGGTTCCTTTCAGCTTCGAACATGGCCGACTAATCCCCGGAATCCAGGAAGAAAGAATCGGAACCGAGTAACCCGGCACGCACGCACACATTTCGGGGAATATTTGTTTTTAAAATTAATTACGCCTAATTATATTTGGGCTCAAACATATTCATTTTTTGGCCCATTCCCTGTCTTTTCCTGTCTTCCGCCGGATTTGGGCTTCGTTCGCGGGTACAACAAAAGAAATTACCTCATCATCGTAATTATCCTGCTCAGGCATGACTCGATGTTTGTCGGCTCAGGGCGATGGGTTTCGAGGAAGTCCGATGGGCGGTGGGTGGTGGTTGGTTTTGTGTTGGTTGGTTGGTTGACAAATTAAAGAAGCCTCCGGCTGTTGTTCTCGGCTGGCTTTTTGCTTTTTAGATTGCTAATCGAATCTATCAATTTTCCCGGCGATAATTTGCGAGCGCTTCGAATTTGTCCGCTTCTCGAAATCAGCTCGCTGAGGCAGCGAGATAACTGGAGTAACTTCCCGTGGCCATGCTTTCGCGAATTATTTTATAGCTCGTCCTTGACTCTTGCCAGCTGTCCTTCCGCCCATCAGCCGCCTCCTGCTTTTCCGCCTTTCTTCTTGCTGTTGCCGTTGATGTTGCTGTTGCTTTTGCTAATTATGAAGGGCCGTTGTTTTTCGGCGTTCGCCTCCGTTCGTTCGACTTGGGAACTTTTGGTTTCGTTCCTCGCAATGCGCTTTTGCTGTTAGGTTTTCCCGCTCGCCGTCTGCCGTTGCTAATGAGCATGCATTTTCAATTTTCCCAGCTGCAGTCAGCCAGGGATTCCTTTGTCTCCGCTGCTCTTCCGTTGGTTGTTGTAGCTGTTGGTGTCGCTGTTGTTGTAGTTGTTGGTGTGAGGAGCCCTCGCCCTGACACTAATGATGCAGCATACTTTTAGGCCAAGCGCTAAATTGGAATAGAGTGGGTTGGAATGGAAAGAAGAAGAAGAGAAAACACACACATATATTTTAAAATGCAGTTCTTGCTTAAACATTTTCTGGTTGTTTTGGCGGGGGTTGTCTTCTTTTTGTGTGTGTGTAGTTGTTCTCGTGCAGCTGTAGTTGTTGTTAGTGCCAATTCTGTGTGTTGTGCTTTTAGACTTGCGAGCGCATCTGTGTGTGTGTGCGTGCGTGTGTGAGTGGGTGCTTATGTAACATGACACATGTTCGCCGCTGCTGCATACTTTTCGGGATGCCAGTGTGTTGGTGTGCTGGTGAGTCGGTGTGGTGTGGTGTGTTAGTCAGCTCCGGCATTTGGATGTGGGTTAAGTAGTCTAGTGTTTAAATATTTGCATAAACAAAGGCCACTGCCCAAAAGCAGGCAATGTGATGTAAGTTTCTAATTACATGTACGCCAACATTGCAGCGACTTTGTTTCCTTTATTGCTGTTGTGGGCCAGAACATGCAGGTGGCCCCAAAAACTAATCTGTTTATTATGCAAAATGTTGCATGCGGCGGAAGGTTTGGTGGGGGCTTCGCGGGAGTTCAACACTTTAACATGACCGGGTTGTACTATGCAAATTGAACCACTTGGGCGGGGATGGTGCCGAGTGGCTGGTGGCTGGTGGTTGGTGGCTGGTGACTGGTGGTTGAGTGGAGTGTTAATAGCATTACATTTTCAATTTAAGTTATGGCAAGTTTTTCTTTCCCCTTCCCTGCTGTTTTTTTTTCGCCTTCTAAGCAGCTTATTATGCAAAATGCATGCACGGTGAGGAATGGCTGAAGGGAATTTCGAGTGGCATTCGCAGTCAGTTGAAAGAGGATTATGGAACGCTTCATTGGTTCGTGGCATTAATGAAGAATTAAATTGAAAGGTTAAAGAGGGTGAAGAGGTGCAAAACGATTATGGAAAAGGTAAAACGGATCAACACTTAATTTAGATGATTAGAAACGATTATCAAGGTAGATACGTTGTAAATGAACTATAGTTGAAATCAAAGAAGAAGAATTAAGTAGTTAAAGTTTAGTTTAAGTCTTGCATTCTAATGACTCAACAACTTGTAGAAGAACAAGCTCATGTTATCCCCATAATCCCAAGCCAACAAAGCTATTTTCCGTACGTACACTGTAATTACCCTGAATGTCAGCTTTATAGCTCCTTGGCCCCAGGAAGACAAATGACACCACACCCAAATAAGCCACAAAACACCGTTCACAACTGGCTCCTTCCCCTCCCCCTGATCTTCTAAAGCGTTGGAACTTTTACTTTGCCCCAAGAGAAGCTTTGGCTTAAATAGCCAATGACACACAAATAATCTACAATAGTCTCGGGAGAAGAGGGGAGGGAGGGGAAGAGGAAGAGTGTTCATCTTTCGCCTGAGTCATCTTTAGGGAGCACTCACTGTGCACTCTTCCTCGGAACATTATGCATTACAATGCATAAACTTTCGGTCATTGTGGGGTTTTCCGCTCGACTTTCACCTCAACCGACGGCCACCACTATAAATTAAAATAAAATGTGTAAGGGAAACCCAATCCTCGCCCTAAACGTCGCTCCTCGCAAGTTTCCAGTTCCCAGAGGGAACAATGGAAATGTTTGATATAGCAGCTAACATAAATTTCATTAATTTTTACGTAGCCAAATTGTTCGGGCTTTTTGTTGTGCTCCCTTCTGTATTGTTTTGCTTTATTCCCGGTTTCATTTCGCCTCGCTTGCACAGCCAAGCGCAAATTTTATTGTTTTCATAAAAATGATTTTAATTTTTCCCCGAACAATGTAGCATTGAAAAAACAAGCTCTCCGCAAAAGTAAAACACCAGGAATTTCATATACGTATCTGGACGCTTGCCATTCCGGAGTGGACCAACAATCCCTTTTGACCATTAGAGAATTCGGAGCCTTTTAATACAATTGGGAACCATTAGTCTTATGTGTAATAATTAAAAGAATTCTTAAACGAGAGCCCAACTTTTCAGGTTTCCCAGTACTACAGAAATTAGCAATAATTAAGCATATGTGTAATAAACGAATGATTTTTTCAACGGAAGCACAATGTATTAGCTATCTCAATATTTTTGCAACATAAGAACCCAACTGGTAAACATTTTCTTTTTATTTCGTTGCTACCTAAAACGTCCAAAATGCAGGAAAAAAATCAAATACAACTTTGCGTAAATTAAAATTTTGTTGAAATAATATTGATTATGATAAATACTTTCACAAATGATGACTACAATGTTTACTTATTCGTTGCCAATAAAATCCTTTCTCTCTTCTGAAGTGCCTTTTAAAGAAATTTAATAAATTTGTTTAATTAAAATAAAAGTATTAAATCTATCACAATTAAGAGTAGAAAGCCTCAGTTAGCTTAAAGTGACTTTTTGTTAGGCCTTGGTTGCAATATTTTGCAAGCATTCGTTCTGAATTTGAAGCATGTACGTGCCACAATAAAATTTTCATGATTTAATAGTTGGAATTAAATTTGTTATGCAACCTTTTATGGCAGGTTGTGTGGGTGGAAAATGCACTCCGCCTCCCGCGCAGTTTGTATTTTTCACTCTGATATTTTGCAAAAGTTTTTTAGCCTCGCCTGCAAGTTGGTCGTGTATTTTGTTATCAACATGTTGACATTCATTCGTGTGGGGGAATTCATGCATTCTCGCAGCGGCTTTTATTGTCTCTTTCTCTATATCTATCTCTGTCTCGTTCTCGCTCTCGCTCTCCGCCCGACTTCCGGCATGATGCATCCGTGCGTAAGTCGCTTCCGGTTGAAGGCAGAGTGGCCGCTTCATAAAGTGCTGCACACACACACACTCACACATACACACACTCACACATTCGTGGCAGATTCATGGCTCTTGCGACTCGAGTATATATCATTCGTATCGCACTCATGGCGTTCCGGAAAAATTTGAAATTTATTGCTTCAATGAAGCGGCAAAACATCGCTGAGCCGAATCTACATTCGTGCAACATGAATTGTTGATTATTTTAAAGGAAAGCCCCTGCTCAAAATGTACGAACTGTTGCCACAAACTCGAACATACGGTTGCCCTGGAAAATCAATTGCAGCCGCTATAAACGTGTTGCAGCCGGGCAATTTCAGGAGACACTTTTGTGGCTTTTGCCGTCGCTGCTACGTGCCACTTATTGGTGGGACCACGGCCCATGTTGCACGTAAGCCGTAAACGTTTTTAGGGGCTTTGCGGCGTGGCTGTCCGACTTGGCAGCCGGGTTACGACAGCCATAATGTTTCATTAGTGGTCGGTTCAGAGCTGCCTCGCAGCTGGTTCGGCATCGTGGGGCACGGGGCAGGAATGGCTGGGGTCCAATCATCTGCCCCTTCAAGCTGCGACTGCAATGCGAAAGGGTCCTTCAATCGAATCGGAAATTCTCTTACCACTTATTCTCCTTCACCGCAGCAGCAACCGCAATTAAATTTAAAGTCTTTTGAAAAGATGGGAGAGCATTTGCCGTTGAAATCTTTTTTCCCCTCATTAAATATAGTTTCGAATCAAATGATTTTTAATGGCAGAGGAAGGGAAATTCTATTTAGCTGAACAATCCCGTGATGTAAAGTATTGATTTTTAAATTAATTTTAAATTCAACAGAACTTGACTGACATTTCAAGCACATTTCAATAAAGCAATAATTGCATTCGCAAATGGTCCAATTGACTGTTTAGTTGTGGCAAACTTTTTCCCTAACGAGATGCTTGGCCCCGCCCCCCAACAAAGTGGCACCGCCTCCCATTTCGCCAGCACTTCAGCTTCAACAACAAAATATTGCGTAGCATAAAATTAGGCTGCCGCCATTAAACGGGGCAGGCAGAGGGAGAGGTAGAGGGCGAGGATGAGGAGGGGGGAGGAGGAAGTGGAGGTGCCTCCTGCCATTTGGGCCACCCAGAGCGACACAAGCGGCAAGGCCATCGTGCCACCCTTTGTTGACTGCGACGACGAGGCTTGCACATTAGTTTTAACGCATGTTTCATGCGCCATTAGGCTTAATTAGTGGCATTCGCAGCCCCCGCCGAGCCCAACTTAAATGGGTTCGGTTTCGCTGTAGCGCCAGAGGTCAAGGGTTGTGGTGGCTGCAGACTGCAGATTGCAGACTGCAGACTGAATGCCTGTCGTTGCAGTTGCAATTGTGTTGCTGCCCCACAGGACGCAGGATGTGCAGGGAGGTTGCAACTCCGCACAGCGGAATCCGCTTAAGCCCGCCGGTCGTCGGTCGCCGGCGTTCATCGGTCGTTCATTTATTTTAAGCGCCGCACACGCACGCGGAGGAAAATTAAGATTTAATTAAGAAAAATAATAAATGCCTTTGGCCCTGGGCAGCGGGCTTAAAGCGGCACCAAATAAATTGTCCCTCGTGAGCCCTTCAGCCTTCAGTGGGATGGCACTGCCATCTCGACAGCCAGATCTGCTGCCATTTAAATTTGGGCCGCACATCGCAGGCAACAATGCCGAATGCCAAATTTAGATGCCTGCCCCCAGCGAACAGCACTTGATTTGTCTCGAGATTGAAGTGCTTGTTGGGCAGTGATGCGGCAAAGGTCAGACAAGTTAAGTTGCCTTCTTGTGAGCTAAGCAGGCTGAGAACGCTACAAACGAAATATTTTCGGTTGCCCTAGGTAGAAGATTTAAATAAGCCTAGAAAAGGTTCGAAAAAGAATCATTTCTTAGAGAAAAATGTAATATCTGAGTATGCTAACATGCTTTTCAATGTCTTACATCTTTAATCAGAAATTATTGCTCTGGCGTAAAATCAGTCTTGCAGGAAAATAACTTCATAGCCAACAGCCCACAGGAATCGAGTGTTGTTAAAGGCTATTTCCAGACTTGCGTCGAAGGAATGAAATTGTGTGTTATGTTCCAGCTGATTTGGCCAGCATCTCTGCTGATTTCGGGCACTTCCGCCGAATGGCGCCAACACTTTATGGCCGGCGCAGAACGCGTCGGCTTAC